GGGGGGGGGGGAGGAGTGATTACAAAAAAATCCTATTAGATAGCATATTTCCCACAAAATTGACAGAATTTCCCACAAAACTGACAGAATTTGTCCCATTTATTTTTATAATAAGCCAATATTGCCCGACTGTGAAGCGAATATTGCCAGACTGGCTTTGTTTGCCATAACAAACTTGGGGGGGGGGGGCTGCCGCCCCCTCCGCCCATGATAGGAATGGTGCAAAAACCGTAAATATTTACCCTGGAAATTGGGCAATTTTGCGCCGCAAATTGGGTTTAAATGGACACACGTGTTTCAAAGAAAATAACTAAGGGACCGGTCTGAGGGACCCAACCTTCAAAATTTTTTTCTCCACCCAACCCCAGCACTCATTCAAAAATCTTAGGCCCACCCTAGCTTAATTTTGTCAATTTACTTATTTAAGTTTTTGAGAGAACAAAAAAGGCAACAAGTATGAACTCTGTCACTTTTATATGACGACTGTTATGGCAGGTTCAAATTCAATACTTTGCAAATCGATTTTTACTTTACCCAACCCATTTCCACCCATAAAATTTTGCTTACCCACCCATTTTCTCTTCCCCCCCCCCCCGGCCATAAATAATGACCGGTCCCTATAAAGGTGCAAAAAATCGATCTTCTCCAATCTCCATGTTCATGTTTCCACCGGCCTGCGCCGTACGGTGTACGGGTGGAAAAAGTATCGGAACCTGGGAACCTAGTTTGCCAGAAATTTTTTTGAGTTGAGAGTTTTGCAGAAAATTTTCCAGAAAATATTTTAACCATTTTGAGATAATCTGTTTACTCAACTTACAAGTTACAACTACTCTACTTTATTTACACTGTACACACGCTAACATCAGCAGCCTTTTAAATATTTGACAGAAATTAATTCTTTTACCCACCCCTGCCATCACAATGAGGTAAAATGGTCAATATATGCTCTGCAAAGTCTCCAATAAAATGCAACTTAAAAAGTAAACAAATAAAAGTGATGGAATAAATAAGATATGACACTTAGTTAAGCGTTAGATCCTTACTAGCATGGGCGTACCGGGCAGGGGATGGGGGCCGAAAGCCTCCCCCCCCCCCCAGTTTGTTGGGCAAACAAAGCTAGTCGGGCAATATTGGCTGATTATAAAATTTTGTGGGAAATATGCTATCTAATAGGAATTTTTCGTAATCACTCCCCCCCCCCGTCGACAACAATTTTGGAAAATTTTTTTGACAATTAATTCGGGCACAATCCGAAAAAGTCTGGCAAATTTCTTTCCGCCCAACTAATTTTTCCTTCCCGTACGCCCACGCGTACGTTTTTTTGTTATTTTTGTAATTGTAATATTGCAAATTTTACAGAAAATTTCTAGCTTCGACCCAAGTTCCCAGAAAGAAAATTTTTTCCACCCCTGCGGCGCGCCGTCAAAACAATTAAAATCAAACCACGATAACGCGTAAATTGAAGAGAAAACTACCTATGCTAATAACTATGATAATTTATTTGACTATAAGCTAAAAAAGTATCGGGAAACTTCAGTGCATTTTTTAAGGATTCTTCAGTGGTGGGGCAAAACAGCCAAAGGGCCCATTTTCCTTGCCCTCCCCCCAGGATAGTATGCGATCGCCCAAGATGTGAACCGGAGTGCCGCAGCCACAAGTTAACTAGGGGGATCTGTCTGGGGGCATGCCCCCCCCCCCCATGCAAGAAATTTTTAAAATTTGGATCTCTGAAATAGCATTTTCTGCATTCTGAGAACACATTTCTTACAAAATCTCAGCATCTCAAAACAAAGTTTTAATGGTGAAATTTGTAATAAATTGGATGCTAAACATTAATGCTCACCAACAAATTTTGTTTTTTAAACTTCTTTTCAATGCTAAACTCATTAATACTCAATACAGGTCCTAGGGTCCTGGCTTTGGGGCAATAGGCCATTTTTTTTCTTCAGTGGTGGGGCAGAGGAAGGGGCCCAAATGGGGCATTTGCCCCACCAGTCCATGGTATTAAAAAATGCCTTGGGAAACTTGTTAAAACAAGAGAAAAACGCTCTAAAACTCGGCGACTCACTTTTTGACTTTCGGACAAAGCAAGCAATGGATTTATTATTTTTTTCTGTGTTGGTGTAATGTACTCAGCCTCAGGTGAATATGATGCTTGTGATGTTTCTCGGCTGAGTGTATATTCACACTGGGCAAGCTTGAAAAAATATGCCTGGCCACGGTGGGAATCGAACCTACGACCTTTGGAATACTAGCCCATAAGGTCGTAGGTTCGATTAATGGGCTAGTATTCCAAAGGTCGTAGGTTCGATTCCCACCGTGGCCAGGCATATTTTTCAAGCTTGCCCGGTGTGAATATACACTCCGGCAGAGTAACATCACAAACACAATGGATTTGTTTTTGCATAAGCCTCGTTTCATGTTTTGCAAAGGCGCGGTTACTAAGTTTCGCAATTAGTCTATACAGTATATATAAACCTTTTCATAAAACAAGTTGGTTAACTTATTATAATACTGTAATGTAATTACATTGTCACTTGTCTGAGCTGTTGGAATCTCCGTCGCTGTGTTAATAAGGCCTGAAAAATACCTATGGTCCCAGTTTCCCAACCGACCCTATTCTTTTCTGCCGACCCTATTATTTTTTCAACGTGATTGATCATGCGATCCTATTTTCTCTGGGTGGTTGCTGGCTGCTAATACAGCGTGCCAAAATGGCATCTGTTGTCACAATAATTATTGAAAATGACCAAATTGCCTAAATTCATCCATACGAAATACGCATCTCTAGTTATTATTGTTGGGGCTGTACTGAAAATCGCCCAGCCAAAAACCGCCAAAACACGATGAAAAAATTTTTATTTCCGACCTACCTACTCCAATTTTTTCACGATATGGAACCGGAACCGCCGGTATTTTTTAGGCCTAAATACATGTCCAATAATAAACCCATGGGCTTGTACAATAATACATGGGGAGCTACATTTGGAATGGCCTGGGTGTTAGTGAATATGGTGGGCTTATAGGTGGGGCTTATACTCAGGTGGGCTTTAATATTTGGAGCTTTACAGCAGTCTAATTAACCCCTTGAGTGCCAGCACTCTCTTCTTGATGAGTAAAATCATCTGGTGTTAGACAGTAAAAAATAAAGTAATTTGGATTGGCTGCAATGCAACTCAACGGGTTAATGTATGAAAATTTAAAAATTTATTAGATAATTTATATATGGTACAAAACGACATTGTTGTAGTGTACGCCCTATCTTTATAAGGGTGCCAGAAAAAAACAATCCTTAATAGTCTTAAGGCACTAGAACTGCAGCTATTTTAAATTTAGCTTCACTCATGGATGGAAGTTCATGCCAAATCTGACGCTCAAGATCAAAGCACTCAACAGAACTTAAGCATCCTTCCTCTTTGTTGTATCCACCCATCACAAACACTTTCTTTCCAGAAAGAACAGCAGCACATTCATCCCTCTTGTGTTTCATTCCTGGCAATTGTTTACATACACGCTTCTTATGGTTGTACTTGAAAACCGTATTCAAATACTCACGATCCTTGTTTAGTCCTCCGATAATGATCACATCATCACCATGTTTAACAGTTGCCATATCAGCCATCGGAAATGGAAGTGAGTGTACTTCTCTGAGCGCATTGGTGGCTGTATTGTATGACAAAACAGTCTTAACGATACCATCTGCCCCACCATTAGTCGATCCTCCGATGATTAGAATTTCATTGTCAACTACTTCCAACGCATGGTATGAAAGTGGTTTAGTCATTTCGCACCTAACCTGGAAGGTACCAGATGAGCGAACAGACTTCATGTAAATGGCCTTTGAGCATGCATTTGAGACACAGCCTCCAACAAGCCACATATGATCATTTAGGATCGTTGTCTTGTGACCATGGAATTTGAATGGCAATTCAGCTGGAAGATTTAGGGCATCTAGGGAAGCTCTGACTGGAATATCTTTTCCAGGGATTTGGATCTGTTCTATACTCCTAGTTGCACTGCGTGCACCACAACGCCCACCAGTAACCATCACTCGGCCATTGTAGAAATGTGCAGTTGGGGATGCTCTCTTTTGTTGCATTGGTGTCAATTTTCTCCATGTTTGATTGACCAGAGAGTACATCTCAACAGAATCAAGACAACCATGACTGGACAAAATAGTACTGGTACCATTATCTCCACCAATGACAACAATGAACCCTTGTGACTTTGTGACAAGTGATGGCGCTGCTTCGACTTTTCCTGTGCCGATTTTTTTAACAGTGGTTGCGAGATTTTGGATTGCTTTGAGCATTTCTTTCTGTGTGTTAAACATTTCTTTGACCTGATGTTGCACTTGAAACAATTCTCCCTTCATTGCCTGATAGATATAGATAAATAGATAGTTTATTATATGTAAAACCAGAGGTGACTAGCCCAGTGGCACGCCTGGTAAAATTTTGGCCCTCCTTGAGAAAATTCATTCTATAAAATAAGTGAAGCCAGGCCCCACCTAGATTTTTGCTCCCCCCCCCCCCTGACCAAAATCCTGGCTTTGCCTGTGTAAAACATTGCAGTCAAATGCTGAATTGAGTTAAATATTACAATGTTTGAATAAAAATATTATTACAAAAGGTCAATTTATCAGCGAATGTTGCTTTATTTATTTAAAAGTGGGCAAATGGTTTCGGAATAGAAGATTTCTAGGGTATTTATATAAAATTTGAAAAAAAAGTTCGATCGAAACTTTTTCACTGGTCGCAGTGGTCGGGCGAGGACGCTAACCAAGTTACTTTTTTATGTTTGTGATGTTACTCTGAGTGTGCATCCACACCGAGCAAGCTGAAAAGTTAGCTTGGCCACGGTGGGAAACGAACCCGCGACCTTTGGGATACTAGTCAAATTCTCTGCCAACTGAGCTACGTGGTCGAGTCGGTTTGAGTTGATGATATTTCGGAACTGAGTTCTAGTTCCTTCGATATCAGTGTATTCTATATGATTATTTTGTGTGTGTTGGTGTTATGTACTCAGGTGAATAATACTTTGCCTAATGGGCCATTTCACTTTATAGGGGGGATATTAATTTAATTTAAATTAATATCCTGCCACCCTATAAATGAGTTTTCTGAAGCCCCCTATCAAGGAGTTTCTCTCTGAAGCCTCCTCCCCCCAAACTTTTACATCAAACTTGTGTTAGTTATGCACCAATCGGTGTAAACTCCCGCCCCCCCCCAACCGGGGAGGGGCGGGGATTTTGACTTAGAGGGGTAGTAAAAGAGCGAAATTGTCCCCGCCCCCGGGGAAAGCGTAATTAATCAATGTCCCTGCATGTCTCTCAACCCCGGGAAAATAGTTTTGTATATATTTCATAGATCAGCAATAGAAAATCAAATTCATTTATGTTATTGTATTTAAACTTTTCTTGTAGAGAAAACTAAAACAGCAACACAGGGTATATATGTTAACCACTGAATCCATTCCCCCACTTTCTTCCCCGCATCGTCTACCGAAAGAGAAAATGTTGTCCAAGCCCCCCATCATCGGGGACATATTTACCATCAAAACTGACCACTTTCCCCGCTAAATACCCGCCCCCTCCCCAGTTGGGGGGTGGGGGGGGGGGGCGGGGATTTACATTGACTAGTGCATAAAATATACCTGAACATCTTTGCTTATTAAACAGCCATGTTTTCCATATTTCTTGAAAGACATGTTCTCGCCACATTCTTCACAAAATACTTGTCTGTATTCGCAAACCTCGCTCGTGTGTTCCTCTAAATCTGCCATGTTTACAACAACCTCGCATCTTTCGTTAGGACACGTTACGGGTTTATACTCGCACACGGAAATGTGAGTTTCAAGAAGGCCAAGCTCGACCAATTCAACACATCCTCGTTCCTTGTGCTCGCAACTGATCATCAAACCATCGAGATAGCCTGTCACAATTCTTGCTGGCTTGGATAACGCTTCTTCCGTGAGTTCTTGCATACAAACGGGGCACGTCTGGGAATTCTTAAGATGCTCTGTTATACAGGCTCTACAGAAAAGGTGTTGGTTGTGGCATTGTACTGGGTCTTTCAAAACATCCGTACAGATTGGACAGAAGAAATTTTTATCGACTGAAGTTTGAAAACGATCTTCCGGATAACCGCCACCGCAACAAGCCATCGTATGAGCGAAATTAGTCAGGATTTAAAGCCATATTTAAAGCCATTTTGAACGACAACGATCAGCTAGTCAAATGTATAAAATTTTACTTTCATTTTCAATGCTATGCTCTTGCGCATACTCGGAGCCAAATATCGTTAGCCGGAAGTATACTATTGCACGATTTAGAGTGGCTTTATTATGGCACTCTGTTGTAACACTGTTACAAGTGTTACACAGTGTTAAACAATGTTACATATTCTTACATAGTGTTCCAGTGCTACATAGTGTTACACAGTGTTACATAGTGTTACAGTGCTACATAGTGTTACACACACTAACCCTACCCCTAACCACACCCCTACCCCTAAATAAAGATAGTGTAACACTTGTAACCCGAGTATATACTTGATAATACACTCTAAATCATGCATCACGTGGCTGGAATCACACTCACTCAGAATAGGCCGCCGGGATTTACCAAAAAAGGCCAAACTGCAATCTACCAGCAGCTGGATATCATATGAGTCCTGATTGGCTAGAATTATAACCAGGGTCTTCTCAGACGGCCAAAAAGAGGCCAAACTTTTTTGTGGTTAAACAAAGAATAAAAAAGCCAAATTCGAGTTATTTGGCCTCCAAGAAGCCAACTTTAGTGAACTTTCCAACAAGGGTTAATTTTGTTTCTCTATATGCTAGAATTCCTTAATTAAATTCTGAATAAAAATTCCATATATTTAGTAAACTTCTTTGAAGATGGGCAGATACACAGGAGCCCATCCCAGTTTAATTAGAGAGCAACGTTTAGCAATGTATATTATAGATTTAAATATGTAATATTAATTAATAAAAACAAAGTACAAAAATTTTATACTAGCAACAAGAGTTTTACAATATGAAATTGGTCGAAGACCCGTACTCAGGAAATAAAATAACAACATAAAACGCTCACTGAGTTTCCAGCGATATACATACCCTTTTCTAGATATATACCTAATAATAATAAACGAACGAACGAATGTATTCCTTCCACTCGTGAGCTCATTTACCATTGTCACATATGGTAAATGTCCAGGCCTTGTGACCCTGGATGGGCACTTAAAAGGAAAGAATACACACACACAAAGATTTATTCAACCATTACAAGAGAACGATTGAACAACTGCGCATGAACGAACGTTCAAAGTGAATGCCTCTTGTTAGCCACCTACAAAATTATTATTAGCATAACAATATGTCTCACGAGTTTTACCTTATAACATATTACATTATATAATATATAATATATATAATATAATAATAATATATATATAATATATATATATAATAATAATATATTATATATTATATATTATATATATAATATAATATATATAATATATATTATATTATTATAATATATTATTTTATATTATTATAATATATTACCTTATATTCTTATAAGAGTTTTACCTTATAATATCAAGGTTGGTCTTAATATTCATACGCAATGAAATTGGACATACAAATAATAGTTAAATGCGGAATGCAAATATTTTGAAATATTATAATTAAATTTTTAATGCCGGTTGTAGCTGGACCGTTTGACCAATAGTTGTATTAATATTCTGCCGGACAATCTGTCTGGCAAAAAATGACCTTCTCGTACCGAACAATGTCTGTGACCAGCCGCTTATTTTCAGGCTTGGATTTATACAAGCATTTTAGTACCAGTATACAGTAGTAAACACTTTAATCTTGGAATGGGTTTTGAAACTTAATCTTTCTCCATATAATTACATTTTTCACAATATACTTTGAAGTATATTGTGTACATATATTCTTCAACATGCCATTACAATGGCCTTGTAGCTCAGTTGGCAGAGCATTGGACTAGTATCCCCAGACATTCCAACCTCCGAGTCCTCAAAACCGGGACACTTCCCAATTTTCCCATTTAACTTAAATAAACGCCTCCCTCGAATAAATGCCGCGCTTTTCTCATTGATGTGGTGTCTATTTGGGTTAGTGTTAAAATTGGCTGAGTTGAGTTTGAATTAAACAATAAATTCACAGTGGATGCTACATAAACTAATTTTATTACACTAACGTTGAAACCGATAAGTAATATAACATCTTCTCAACAAGCTTTAATTTCATTGAAATACTGTACTGGGCCACTGGCGAAATTGTTTCCTTTTTGCATGGCCATAGGAAGCTGTTTTTGATTGGGGCTGACAGGCTGGCCAGAAATTTTCAATTGAAGTCTCAGTCCTTGTTTCTGAACTTTTGGGAAAGTTGGACAGGAGTTAGGTTATTCTAAAACAGTTTTATGTCAAAATTTGTTTTGGTAAGTACTGGTGAAGAAACGTTTAGGTCTTCCTTTATGGGTTGCGAAATGCAGGTATATCTTCATTCTTTGCAGTTTTGCATGGATTAAATTATAAAGGTCTGCATGATTTTGAAAAAAGAATGATTATTAGCAAATTATTGGGGGGGGGGGGGCAGCCCCCCGGTTGCTACGGCCCTGTTTTACTACTGGTCTTTTGAACTATGGTCGGACCCTCTCCTATTCAAGAGCCCGCGATTATTTCGCCCGCCTTCCTAGCTGTTACGCTGCTTTACTTCATGTAACCCTGGCAAAAATGAATAGGTATTGAAAGCGAACGCTAAATCACAGAATAAGGCACACAGAAGGGCCCCCTGGCCGCCATCTTCCTAGCCAGTCGATTACATTTTCTGGCCAATAAACGCGCTGTATTGGCTGAAGGCCCCCCTTCTGGCCAGTCAACTGCATATTTTTGCATAGAAAAATGGTGACACGTTGCACCGCTGAGTGGCCCTTCTGGTACTGATCTTTATTCTGAGGCTAAATTGTCAAAACAACGTATCTCACGAGAATTACAACGATCGGTGACAAACTCGGCAATTGTTTGGGGCAACTAGAAGCTCCTATTTCATTAATATGTATTGAACCAAACGAATTTCATTAATATTTGTCACATGAGTCCTATTTGAAGAATACAACTATTAAAATACTACAGAAACCGGGACAATAAGAAGAAAACCGGGACACCGGGACAACATAGTCCAAACCGGGACAGTCCCGGGTAAACCAGAAATGACAGCGGCACATTCATCTCTCTTGTGTTTCATTCCTGGTAATTGCTTACATACACGCTTCTTATGGTTGTACTTGAAAACTGTGTTCAAATACTCACGATCCTTGTTTACTCCTCCGATAATGATTACATCATCACCATGTTTAACAGTTGCCATATCAGCCATCGGAAATGGAAGTGGATGTACTTCTCTGAGCGCATTGGTGGCTGTATTGTATGACAAAACTGTCTTAACAATACCATCTGCCCCACCATTAGTCGATCCTCCAATGATTAGAATTTCATTGTCAACTACTTCCAACGCATGGTATGAAAGTGGTTCAGGCATTCGGCACTTAATCTGGAAAATACCAGTTGAGTGTCGCTGAAGAGACTTCATGTAAATGGCACTTGAGCATGGCTGTTGATTACGAAAGTCAGAACCTCCAACAAGCCACAGATAATCATTTAGGATGGTTGTCTTGTGACCACAGCATTCAAATGGCAATTTGCCTATAAGAAAGGCATCTAACAAACCTTTGAATGACAAATCTTTTCCAGGGATTTGGATGTATTCTACACTCCAAGTTGCACTGCGCACACCATAACTTCCGCCAGTAACCATGACTTGGTCATTGTGGAAATGTGCGGTTGCAGCTGCTCTCCTTTCTTGCATTGGTGCTAATTTACTCCATGTTCTATTGGCCAAGGAATACACTTCAACAGAATTGAGCCAACTACTGCTCACGAATACACCATTTTGCCCACCAAGGACAACAATGTTCCCTTTTGTGTCATGGGAGGATGCAGCTTTGCCTTTCGCTGTACTCATTTCATAGGCAGTTGTAAGATTTCGGATTGCTTCGAGCATTTCTTTCTGTGTGTTAAACATCTCTTTGACCTGATGTTGCATTTGAAGCAATTCTCCCTTCATTGTCTGATAGATAAATAGATAGTTATATATATAAAACATTGCAGCCAAAGGCTGAATTGAGCAGAATATTACAATACTTAAATAAAAGGTCAATTTACTAACAGGAAATTTTCCCCTTACCCCCACCCCACCCCCATGGATGAGTTTTCCTGACGACTAGCCAGTTTGCAGAACGTGGCACATTTCGACGAGGTCTCGGGTGCGATATACCAAGAATTTCAAGTGCAGGTGCGCTTCAAACTGTCAGGTGCGCACCTGAAAAATTGTAAAAAATGCTGTAGGTGCGAATTTTTTGTGACAAG